AAGGCAATTGCGGGCTGGTGGCGCGGTGATGGGGTGGGATAGGGTGACGGGGATGGTGGGGAGCGCCGGGATGGTGGCGTCATTGGTCACTGAGCAGTGACAGGGGGTGTGGCAGTGTAGGGCTTGGTCATGAAAGAGGGTACGTACGGGGATCTGAGCAGGGTAAGTGGTAGGGAAAGGCTGGTGTTACATCAAGGGTGGGCACTAGCTACGGTTTCTGACAGGATGGTTGGTATCGAGGTAACGGTGTTGTTAGCCAGACATACTGACACTTTTACTGGGGACAGAGCAGGTCAGTGTCACTAGGTTAGTGACTGGGTGTTGAGTGGAAGTAACTGAACACAATTTGTTGCTGGAGATATCACTGGGTGGTGGTCATTGCAACAGAGTCACTGGAAATTAGAGAACATTGGAGTATGAATGAGTCACTAGACAACCCTTGGCGAATGAGTCACTGGAGAAAATAGGAGCATGAAGTCACTGGACGATGTAGTGGCTAATGGTGGTGGTGGCGATATTAGAGGTGGCAACAGTCACTGAGAGATGCAGTGACAAAGAAGGTAGTCACTAATGCGGTCCACTGACTAACGGTGGTGGTGATGATATCATGATAGTGACGGCGGCAGTGGTGGTACGAGTAGTAGTGGTGGTTGTTGGGGTGGGTGGACAACAGTGACTAATTATTAATTATCAAAAAGGAATGTTATAATAATAAATGCAATATTAAATAAAAGGTATACATAATATGCCAAGTCATATTTTGGAAATATTTAAAAGAAGTCATACTTTTGTCTTTCACATTTAATTTAAGGGCTTTTTCCTTGAATATTATTAAATTGAAGCCAATTTCAAAAAATGTGACCATTTTTATAAAAGGAAAAAAAAGTGACTAAAAAGGTCATACATATGAAAAACATGGTGGTTGTGTTCGTTAGACCATTTCAGCTATTAATAAGTTGCAATATTGCATGTTCAGTCAATAATTTAATATTTAGAACTGTTCGGATGAAAAGCTTATGTGGACTTGAACTGAAAAAAAATAACTGAATAAAACGTTGGTAAGAGAAACGTTTGAATTCAGCTGACCCTTTGATTCCCATTTTAGCCTCGCCACACGCTCTCTCCTTCACGCTCAAATTGAGCATCCTGTCTGCCCTTCACAACATCCACACACAAATCTCAAACGAGAGTACGGTTCATGCACACTTCTTGCCAGACAATTTCTCAAGACCCACTTTCAATCATATATTAATTCTATTCAATTATTTATGTTTTTTTGAATGGCTCCTTTTGTTCGGTCCTTGACACCTACTAGCTATCTTCCACTTTCTGGTGATGTTCATGGCCACCGAGATGGGAATTGAAGAGGCGAAAAAAGATATGTGACGGAAGACGGGTTCAAAGGGGCGTGTCCAATGTCTTCGTGACAGCAATAGCAGCTTTGTCGTCCCAACTATTTAATTTCTTGATGAAATAAATAAATAAATAAATAAATAAATAAATAAGTAAAATAATAAATTATATATATACTTATATATTATAGGGGTAATGAGTTTGCACCTCATTTTATTGTCTAAATTGGCATGACTTTGTACCCCGTTTTTCAAAATCTTTATATTTGCACCCAACCCCGTATGAGAAGACAAAAATGCCTCTCGATCTGGAATATGTTGAAGGCCAACAGAATTGTTAGCGAAGGGGCATTTTTGTTTTTTCATACGGTATTGGGGTATAAATAAAAGATTTTTAAAAATGGTGTGCAAAGTCCAATTTGAGCAATAAAATGGGATGCAGTATCAAATTACCCTATATTATACTCGTATGTTATGTTATGTTATGTTATGTTATTATGTTATAAAAAATATTGTATTCTATTAATAAACTATATGTCCTTTAAGGTAATTTTACATTATCCATGCACTTCTTCGGTTCTTTTTGCCAAACGGGTCTATTCCATTCAGCTAGCAATTCACATCCAGCACTTCAAAGTTCAACTCCAGACAATAGTCTCTGATTCAGACAATAGCCCCTATTTCAGACATCAGCCTCCAGTTTCAGCTCCTTATGCCAAACATAGCCGGTGTCACTGCAAAAAAAAATATGTCACTATCATATTTTTATGTCACTGTTGTATGTCACTGTCATTTTTATGTCACTTTCTAAATGCAACTACTGATTTTTATGTCACTTTTGTATGTCACTATCACGGTGAAACATGTCACTATGATCGGCGGATAATTTTTCGGCGACTTGTTTCAACAAAATAGTGACCTCTGCGACTCGCCATAGATCGTCTAAAACGCCGACAGCCAGCCAGTCGGCACCACCATCCCACCGCCACGACCGTCCACTTTAGACTGCCCATTACCCTTGCCCTTCCCTATTTACATGCCCCATCACCCCAAATCCAAGGCCCTACCCCTGCACCTTGACCTGTCCCAGCCACCCTAGCCACCAGTCTGCATGTTGACCGTCGCCCAGCGAACCCAACACCACCGGTCAACAACCCAACACTGTCGGTCAACACCACCATCCACCAGCATTCAACACTAGCTCCCAATCATCACTCCCAACCTCTAGCTCCAACCTCCCCAACCTGCCCTCTCCAACCTTGCACCCATACAACCCCCATCCCAGCCTCCCTAATCTGATCTCTCGCATTGCCAGAACCCTAGATCCATAATTGAACGAAAAGAAGAAAGAAGGAGAAGAACAGTGATGATGACAATTAACCGTCAATCCGTCATTGGATCGAAGCAGATCAACAAATGCAGAGATGAAGGGCGGCAGTGGCGATGCATCAATGACCTGAGGCGGCGGCGATGCAGAGATGTTCGGCGGGCGAGCGGCACTGGAGAGTAACCGGCAACGATGGTGAGTTTTATGGATGATGAAGATGAGGAGGCGCACGCAGATCCCAGGCAGATCACAGTTGCTTCGATCTGCTTCGATCCATGGCGAAGATGAGCATCTTAGATATACCAGGTGGAGAAGATGAGGAACTCACATATTGATGATACAGAAGTGTTTAACAGTGTAGTTACATTTATGTCAATGCGGGATTTAGTCATATTTTAGTCTATACAAACCCCCCAGTAATATTGGGGTCATTTTTTCTTAATTTAATATAATTGATAAAAAACAAATCTTAATGTCGTCAAAGATACAAATACGGAGTACTACGTCTATCATAGGGGTGCAAATGAGCCGAGCCGAGCTCGAGTTTATGTAGGCTCGAGCTCGAGCTCGAAATATATTGTATTGGCTCGAGCTCGAGCTCGGCTGGAACGAGCTTAAAAAATCCGGGCTCGAACTCGACTTGCAAATATTGACATAGCTTGATTCGGCTCGATAATTTTGGTTCGTCAACTCAAATGTTACAAGTTCGATTAGCTCGAAAGTTCGGGTTCGAAGTCGAGCTCAAGTATGAAACAATCTTTGAATATTTGTGCTTAGTATTTGCAAATTGAAATTTACATGCCCAACAACTAAAAATGGACTAAATGTTGTCCAAAATAAATAAAAAATGATCAAACCATGATGATTTAACTGAAGCTAGAGTTACGGGAACGGAAAATATAATATCTCCCCGATCCTCATATACATTTATCAATCGGTATTATATACTATCGTATATATTGATTTATATTAGATATATTATATATACTAATATATATTATATATTCATTTATATTAATATTATATATATTAAATATATAAATATACACACATATAAAACTAGGCTTGCGAGCCGGTTAGCGAGCTAGCGAGCCTAAAATTAGTAGGCTCCTTTATGACTCGACTGCTTAACGAGATGGCTCGAGCTCGGCTCGAGCTCGAGTTTGACCGAACTTGATTCGAGCTTTGATCGAACAGCTCACGAGCGGCTCACGAGCGGCTCGGTTCATTTGCACCCCTACTACTCTAGCCCGTGTATGCGGTTGCAACTTGGAATGAAGGTGCGAAAAAATAGGCCTGGGACCGGTTCGGTTCTTACTCAAAATTGATGGAACCGTTATAAAAATTTTAACTAATGAAATCGGTTCGGTTCTTGTGTAAAAAATCAAGAACCGTTATGGAACCGAACCAATACTAAATGGTTCGGTTCTTACTTTTATCGGTTCATCGAATAAATTTTTTCCTCATCTAATAAATGGGCACATTATTTGCTTTCTACCTCATAAAAATGTAAAAAAAATCAAACACAAGTATTAAAATTTTATTTAAAGTTCTAATAACTTCAAACATCAAAGCTCAAACTTAAATAAGTGAACACTTAATAGAATAAAAGAAAGTTTCAATTTTGATTTAATAAGTAGAACATAAAAATCTTAGTTAAGATCGGAAAGTTGTTCATCATCACATTAGCAAGATATGACGTCCACTCCAAGACTTTCAAAACTTAAAAAATATATTGAGTTTGCATGTATAGTTATAGAAGCATCATTACAGTCTATTTGCTAGTAGTATAATTTACAATAAATCCAATAGTTACAAATATCATGAAGATAGTGAAGTAAAATATATGCAATCAACTACAAGTTATTTGAGTTATTTTATGTTTATAAAATATATGTGATTTAACAAAACTTGATTTTGTAAAAATGAGCTTAACGTATTCAATCTCTTGTGCACTATAGATTACTTTTGTTTTCGTTGGTTAAATTAGAATTGTTGGTTAAATATCATTGATTGTTCTATTATTGTTATTGTTGATATTATTGTTATTACTATCACTACTATTTTTATTTTTATTTTTTAATAACGGTTCCTTAATGGTTCCGTGCATATATTTTTTATAGGAATCAGGAACCGAACCGTTAATAACAACTAGGAACCGAACCGTTAACAACTAATACCACATGTATAGGAACCGAACCGAACCGTGTTATAACGGTTCGGTTCCAACCGATTCTACGGTTCCACATTCCAAAATCCCAAGCCTACGAAAAATAGCCTCCTTCGTTTCGGACCTTTTGATATACCACAAAGAAATGTCTCTAACATGACGAGTTTATGACAACACTTTCCCCCTCCCCAAATTTCTCTCTCTTCTTCTTTAACTCTTTTGCGCCATTTCTGAAAAAAAAAAACATAACCTTTTGTCAAGAGAAGAACCATGAAGAGAAGAGGAGAAGGGAAAGAAGAGACGGAGATTGAACGCCTCCCCGTCGACCTATTGGCTCATATATTAGCTCTTCTCACTTGCTTCAAAGATTTAGCTCAGTAAGCTTTCTCTTTTTTTCCCTTCCTTAATCCCCTGGCGGCCTCTGTTTAACTTACCCGACTGGATTTGCAGGGCGAGCAGCGTGAGCCGGAAATGGAGGCAGGGAGTGAAAGAATCGTTGGCCAGGAGAGAAAGCTTGAGTTTTTCGGGCTGGAAAGTCGACGACGATTCCTCAACTCGCCTTGTTCTCCATGCTTACAGTCTTAAAGACCTGGACATGTAAATTTAATTTACTCTGATGACTCTTTTATGTAGAATTGTTGAAGTAGTTCACCTAATTTTTGGTTCGATCAGCTCAAGAAGCCGGTGGGGGTGCCAAATAACAGATATTGGACTGCATCAATTGTCTATGGCGAATTGTATTGGCAAACTCTGTTCTGTGTCTCTGTGGGGGACGACAGGAATCACAGATGAAGGTGTTGTTCAACTGGTAAGTATAAGGAGTATATCTTTCGTCCCTGCTTTGCTGTTGTTTCATTCATAGCCCGTTTGGTTAGCCTGTTTGGTGATTCCGTTTTAGACAACTTTTTCACTAAATATGTGTTTTTTAATTTCACATCCTGAGTTGTGTAATAATCAAAATTAGTAAGGTTTGAAGTTATTTTTCTGGTGGGTTTGGTTAAAGTACCACAGAGGACCATTTTTAGCTATTTTTCATATAATTTTTTCTTTATTTTATTTATAAAATATATTTTAAATATAATTTTTTCATAATTCCAGCCATTGCAGCCAAGAATTCATAAATTTCAACGGAATCGGCTGATTAAGCAAATTTTAGTGTTTCCAAAGATGCTCTTAGTATGAAGCTTTCCTGTTCCTGGCTGGGTTTATTCATATATTTTGTTTTATTGTTGAAATAGATTTCCAGAGCTGCCTCTCTACAACATCTGAATATTGGTGGCACATTCATAACAGACATATCTTTGTTTGCCATTGCTAACAGCTGCCCACACTTAAAGGTAAATAAAACATAGAAATAAAACAAGGGTAAAAATAAGGTCCTGATTCTGTCAAATGGTGCGGAAAGAGTTGGCTCTAGAGCCAAATTTGTAATTAGGAACCAGACCCCAATATAAAAGGTTCGGGCTCTATCAAATGGAGGATTCGAACTGGCAATCCTGGATCCAGAACCTAAACCACTTAACAAAATACACTTTTAAATCACAATTCGAGCAGAACTGGATGAGAACCGTCAGTTATAAGAACCGCAACTAAGAATCTCTACTTGCGAATTCGATCAAAGTTCTGAATTTTAATGGGACAAATCATGGTCCAGACTGAATTAATTCATTACCATTGATTGACATTAGTTATTTGACAATGGCAGTAATTAATCAAAAGTAATAAACAAATGATAGACACCCCATTCCTAGGGCCAAGGGGCCAGAACCGGCCTGACAGATATGCGGGAGGATGTAAAATGAGTTTTGAGCATTGATCGGTGCCAGTAGAGAGAGTTGAGTTTCAGTCCAACTCTTTGTGTGGAATCAAATCCGAGACATCTCCCTTATGTCACCCTCTTTAGTCCTGTTGAGTTACATGAGTTTGTACTTCTTTTGCAGAGCATTGTGCTCTGGGGTTGCCGCCATGTAACTGAGAGTGGACTCTTAGCGCTTGTAAACAAATGTGGCAAACTTGAATCCATCAATGCATGGGGAATGAGGATATCTGTGGAGTGCTTCATTGCTTTGCTCACTATAAGTCCAGCTCTTCAAATTCAACCGAAAGGACTGCTTCCAACTAGCATTGGCAGCGTTTCCATATGGCCTCTCGCTTAAGCAACCCCCATTATCTATTATGTGCATAGAGTTTTACTGATGCTACATGCATGTATTAATTTATTGTGTACATATTACTCTTCCATTTCTTCGTTCAATTGTTATTATTCCCCAACTCAATAAAGTTTTTATGCTTGGAAACCGAATATGTGACTCGATTTGAAGAACTTGTGTTTGCGTTTATAATCTGAATTTGTAATGGTCGATACAGGTGAGACCAAATCCAGAGCAAGTTTAGATGGGTTTTTATCTGGAACTGAAAACAGGCTCTAATTCAATCTATTTATTCCGAACTGAAATAAGTATTTTATATTGATTCAATGCAGGACTTGTCTCTAACAAAGTAACACTTTATATCACACATTCACACAAAAGTGACAAAACTATTACCAAGTATAGAATATTGTATTATCGTATATTTTGTTAGAAAAATGATGAGCATTTTTTTTATAAAAAAGACAATATAAGTATATAACGCAACACAACTGTAAGGGTTAATCAGTTAATGTGCAACTATCGTAGAGAGATGGGTTTATAAAGGTTAATACTTCTAGCCGACTTCAAGCAATTCTTGTAAAGATTAATACTTCTTGCTTCATAAATAACTGTTTCTTGTTTTTTCAAATAACTAATATACATAATACAGGCTGCCAATGACACTGAAGTCTGAGAGAAATTAAATACAAACTTCACATTTTAACAATGCACACCGCAAGCGTGGAAATTTTTCTTGACTTCTTCAATTCATTTTTCTGATTGTAACCAGCCAAGCGAAAGTACACCTTTTGCAACTGACAAAAAACAACTTCAGACTGTTATGTCCTGCCCGCTTAACCCACAATTGAAGATGAAACCATCACAATTTCAGACCAATGATCATAGTGAAAAGGGGATCATCAAGGGCCAGCAGATCAAGAAAACATAAATTGCATTTGTGAGCTTCGTGGATGCAGCTGACCCTGTCATTTGGACGGACCCAGAAAAACTTCCTCCATTGCTGTTTATCCCTGGAGGTCTACTAGACGATGCAATGTCCTTGCAAACTCCATAACGTCCTCCAGCCTGTAAAGTGGCCCTTGAGGATAAGCATTTTAATATTTTCACACAAAAAAAAACATGTAGTACGTCCTACAAATTATGACAAGTATATATGACTAATAAAAATGGTGGATAAAGATGTCTACTAATCATAGCAGTTTTTCACATGTTGTAGTAGCCGAGTGGTATTCAAATTTCCACGGTAGTCACCATGATGGCTATTCGCAGTGGTTATAGTGGCCTAGTAGTATTTTTTGTCCAAAACATAGTTTTACTTCTGTAATACCTAGTAATACTTTATGTTTGCAGTAGCTTTTTAACCATAGTTTTATTTCAGTAATAATGCAGAAAAAGTCATATTTCTAAATACAAATGCACCAAATACAACATAGATGGAGAGAGAAGTGGAGTAAACAATTACTACCTCTGCCCCTAAGATTGGAACATCATAGAATGGTGCAATTATTAAGAAATGTAGAATTACGTGTTTGGTATTGAATTAGTAAAGCATGAATATGTTAGGGTTCTGAGATTGAGAATGGGTCCAGGGACGACTTGGGGTAGCAGGGTACCCGGTTGAGGTCGTAACCTGCCTGCTATGGTTATTCCTCTTCTCTCTGAGAACAATTTTAATGATTGATGATGATTATTATTCCTCAAAAGAATTATAAATAGCTTATTCTTATTCTTATTACGATTATTATTACGTGTTTGGTATTGAATTAGTAAAGATGTTCTGTTCGTCTTATTCTTATTACTTATTGCTTATTCTTATTTTATTCAAATCAGATCAGATCATAAAAATTCAGACCAGATCAGATCAAAACTTAAAAAATTCAGATCAGAAACATTCGGATCAGGTGAAGAGAACAACTTCCAAGTCCTATTCTAACTAAAACCCTAAATTAAATATAAAGATAACATCAAACTGGACTCCTCTTCTAATTAACTAAAACCCTAAAAATGCATCTGTAACAGAATAAAGAAAGAACGTATTAGAACTACACAAGTATGAAGATATATGGTATAGGACAAACTTAGTAGAACGGATGAAAATGGGAAAATGGGAAAAAGATATGAAAGCGGTATAAGGTTCTAGCAGCTATTTTGACAAACTCTGATCATATAAGCAGTAATAAATACTTCACATATTGTTTACTATGTGGAGCAAAAGAACTAGTGGCGTCCAATCCCAAAATATAACAATTAGAGCCTGTTTGGTAGGCTTAGTTGGCTTAAATGGCTGATAATGATGAAGTTTATGGAAGACAGGAGTGTTCAGTAACATCTATTACTATTACAAAAAGAAAGATAAAAGTTACATTAGCCCAATAGGCCAATACGCCAAATAAGGCCCCCAAACTGAAGTTAACATACCACCATCAAGTTTCCTGAAAATTTATTCAGGGGAAAGACAAACCTCACAAGCAGAGATTGTATTGCATCCGCACAAAGACTGACCGTTCATTCGATCCAGCTCATCAAAAACACCGCCTCCATCACTCCTCTGCGGTTCATATTGATTATAATTTATCTCCAATTAGAAAGGCTTTGTTGAGATATATAGCTGCACTATTTTCACTTTTCGCTAATTTATCCCGAGAGCAGTGTAGAGTTATTTACCATGTAAAAGTTTACCGCCACAAAATTTGGCATCAGATTCCCAGCTGCTTTGTGACAGATGCTAACCGTATCAACCAGCGCCGTAGAGTGCTCTCTACAAGCTTCATTTTGATCAGGAATTGTAGGGAAGTAATTCATTAGAAATAGGGATGCACTTTTTGAATTAAGCCCCTTTGATTCCTTCCTATTGGTGCACGAGCCTCTCACTCCAGGATCTCCAGCTGATGAGCATCACCATATGATTCTTTATTGGGGACAATATACATACAAATTTCATAAAGATCATATATTCATTTGTATGTTATACTTTCTTTGTCCCAGTATTAAAAGTCAACTATCAATTTGAACATGTGTCAGTCTAAAGCCAAGTGGAAAGTGGGTTTAGTCAAGTATTTCAAACAACCTTGGAAATATGTTTTACGTATATTGCATCTTGTAAAGCTTGTACCTTGATGAGTTGACTCAACATATAAAGTTGTTGTACAATGCTCAAACAAGACTTTTTTGGGATGGGAGGAGTAATAATCAGTGCTGAGTGATAAGACTAGCCGGTGAAGGCCACATGCTCAAAACAAAGCCCACCAAACCAGCTCTCGGTGGTATTATGGTCACAAATTGTAGACTCATTCTGTTTCATGTTATTCCTAAAGGCTTTAGGCATTTATTTTTGTCCATAAACGTTATACTCTCTGTTTTTCATTACTAGCTCCGCATTCCTTTTCCGGGAAGCTTTTTGTTATCTGCTCCATTTCCTTATTGGGCGAGTTTTACCATTACTTTTACTTTTACTAATCTACCCTTACTTTTCATCTCTCTTTCCTATTATTAACAACCCTTACTATTTTCAACTTAGTCTCGGTGAGAGGTACCGAAAACGTTATAAGCAAGTACTAGTAAATAATGGAGGGAGTAATAGCCTTTAGAAAGTACATTTGTATAAGTAATTGTTTATTATTCTATAGTACTTACGCTCATTTTCCACCATGTACCTCCATTGATAGGCTATTCCTTCTTCTCTTTCTTTTGAAGAATCAGAGGTGAAAACCAACAAACGGTAGTTTTTAGAAGCCATTTCATATACAGTAGGCCAATCTTCACCCTTTCTTGGCATCTTAGATACTGGAAACAAATATCTGTCCAGTCCAGCTTCATTGAACACTTCGGTCAAACCTTTAGGCCTATGTACATAATCCTCAATTATGATGGTAACTATCTCAGAAGGGTTTGAAGACAAAAAAGCTTCTATTTCTCTAAGTGTGTTGATCGCTGGTTCCTGCATAAATCCAGAATAAATCACATATATTATTTTTTCCCTTCAAAGATGATGTTATTAAATCATATGTAAGGAATTGAGATCGTGGGGATGTTACAAAAGCAGTGAAGTTGAAACATTGGCCATGGAAGGAGTGGCAAAGCCAAATATCATTCTCGAAGTCATACATATCCAACATGAATCCTCTAACTCCGTTCTGGAAATACGCACAAGACTCAAATCAACACCATGCATCATAGATAATTTCTAGGAATTTAATTTAAAATTTTGCTCAGTAAGCAAGCATAAAAAATCTCATACCATTAACTGGTTGGTAACGGTGTCCTCTTGATTAATGAAGGTAATTCTTTGTCCTCCTGTCAGTAATGGAGCATTAGCTATAGAAAATGAATTATGTGTCACCAGCCATGAGTACTTGTTGAAGGGCAACCCACTCACCTGCCACCCCATATAAAGTGCATTTGTTAAAGCATTAAAAAGATGAAGAAAGATTTATAAGACCTTTGTTGAATAAACTCATTGCTTGTAAGTTAAAGTCCACAAGGAAATATAACCTTGGCTTGAACTAGCTATTTGGTTCTATTCAATATGATGTTTAGTTATGTTAGCAGAGCCAGACCAGCCTAGCTGGGTCGACGCGGTCACCAAACTGGGTTAGTCATCCAAAAAAAAAACGGAACTAGACAAAACCAGGCCAACGTAAAACCAGGTAAAGCCCTTAAAACCCATCAATTTGAACAGTTTGTTTTTGTAAGTCTATTTGATATACTGTAATAAAGTTGTATATCTGACTTCACAAAAGATATAACGAAATTCTGTAAAAAGTCATTCACTCATCTTATCCTAGAAAAGTGCAAGACAAATAATCAGATAACATCTTTGATCCGAAAAGGACAAAAACTTATTTTGGAACGTTATGTGATACAAGTACTTCGTAATACATAGCATACAAAAATTATTAGCTGGGCCGGACTGCAATTTGACCCCTAAACTGGTTCACTTGGCCGGTTGATTCTCAGTCCTGCTCTTGTATCATAGGTTTAGTTAAAGTCACTCTTACCAAATCCTAAATTATATGGATAATATCCATTCCTCTCACCTAATCCAAAATTATATCGATAATATCCCCATTCCTCTCGTCCCCCGCAGGAAAGTATACAAAGAATAAATTTTACAAAAAAATCAATACTTTATAAAGAAACAAAGAATACATAAACTCACAATGGAAGTGGGTATAGTGGCCTGTCCTCTAATGCAAAATGGTTGATTCTTCCCCATAGCAGGGCAATTCC